CACACCAGAAATCAGGGGCAGAATAAGAGGAATGGACCAGGATACAGAAAAGAAAAAGGCCAAACTTCCCTAAGCCTGAACCATCGCATTTGGCTTTGTTGTGGCTTTAGCTTGGGGTCCTGGCTAGGTCAAGCCCAGTGGTCCCCTGCAGCTCTGCAAGGAGCTCTCACAGCCCAAACTCAGAAGGAGTCCCCTTCAAGATGACTGCCAGCAGGTAGGCAGGTGGGCTCTCCAGGTCAACACATCCACCTGTGTCCAGGGCCTCCTTCAGCTCCCAGCAGGCTTTCTCGACAGTTGCTAGTCTGAACATCCCCTCCATCGGTGGTCCTTCCACGTATGATATAGCGAGGAGATCTTGCAGGAAACACTGGCAGGGCTGGGTGAATGGCAGCTTTGGTGGCTTTCCTCAGAGACACAAGCAAGTCTGGATGGGGAGGTACACTGTGCCTTCACCGGGCTGGGATCTACTTGTTGCTCCAAGCAGATGCCATTAGGACGAACACTCACAGTAAGGACCAGATCTACTCCAGTTATTCCTGGCTCTGCTGAGGGTTGTGTCTGCCGGAGCTGCCTTCCGAAGAGGTGACATGGGCTGGACCAAACCCCCCGCCCCAGCTCCTTCCACCACGGGGCAGGGACATGCCCTCCAGGTCATGCCTGTCAGAGGGGTGTGCTGGGGGGTAAAGCACCTGTCTCCTGAGCTCCACAACATCACTGCTGGGGACGCTGCCTGGGGACACTGCAGGGACAGCCCCAGGGAGGCTGGTTAGGGACAGTGGGGCCCCTCAGTGCCCTCAGCGCCCTGACACTCACATGGGTATTGTGAATATTATTTGGGTGAGATTTGTGAGGTCATTTGGAAATGACCCATATTATACCCATATTATCTACATATTATCTACAAAGAAATTCAGTTTTTGATGAAAAACTATGATGAAAAAGTATTTATAGTTTTAGCAAAAATAATCTTTTGGTTTCAGTGGCAAGGGGGACTAAGCTTTCACATGCCTCTAATTACCTCTTTGATGCAAAGGTCACTGCATGTTTAACGGAAGAGACAGAGCAGCAGTGGCCCTGTGAGGCCATTAATGGGAAGTGTTTTGCACTGACAAAAGGGAAAGATCGACATGCAATTTCCTTGGAAGTTTCTGCCTTGCTTTTCGAGATACTTCTGGTAGTTTGGTAATGTGTAATAAGGGGCACTGCCTTCTCAGGAAGCGTTTCTGATGGACTCAGCCATACCTTTGCTACACGATTAACACTGATTTCCAGTGAATTGGTTAGAATTAGACCTACCTGCTACAGAGCTCACTCTGTTTTGGTGTATGGCATTACAGCCATGAAGACTTTCTTGACAGCCATGTTAAGAGCATCGTGGTCTAACCCTGAGATGACATGGTCTCCCTAGGGAACCATCAACTATCAGCTTGTTCTCCAAAGCTTGGATCTCATGTTCTACTGCAGGTCAGAGGATCATAGAATTATAGAATGGTTTGGGTTGGAAGGGACCTTTAAAGGTCATCTAGTCCAACCCCCCTGCCATGGGCAGGGACATTTTTCACTAGATCAGGTTGCTCAAAGCCCCGTCCAACCTGACCTTGAACACTTCCAATGATGGGGCATCCACAACTCTGGGCAACCTGTGCCAGTGTCTCACCACCCTCAACGTAAAAAATGTCTTCCTTATGTCCAATCTAAATCTACCCTCTTGCAGTTTAAAGTCTCTTTCTTCCTCTTGTCTGCGCCCCATGGAGTGAGGGCAAAATGCTTTGACAGTGAATATAGTAATTGGGACAAAATTCCAGTTACTGGAAAATTTAGGGCATGGGGAGGAGGGGGGATTCTCTCCTATAGTGCTAGTCCTGATTATTGCTCTTTGTGATGAATATCAAGGAAACAGAGGAATGCATGCCTAACAAACGGCAAACAAATAAATTGACTGAAATTCTATGAAATTATAAACGGAATTGGCAATTCACAGGCTTTGCTCCTGTGAATTCGGAGACATGAAACACAAGGCAGGAACATTTGTTCTGCCCATGTAAGATGTAGCTGGGGTAGGGGCCGTCCTCATCTCTGAACACAATTTCTGAATTATTTAGCATACGGCCTTTCTGCTCCGGCAATAGACTTACTCAGAGATCATCTTGTCTGCTTTTACTTTCTTTTCTTTCATTCTTTCTTAAACAGACTTGCAATTGCTCCCATGTATTATTTATTGGAAATACTATGCTTTTATAACATAGCTGTGGGTGGAACAGACTCTGTAGGCACAGTTTGCACCCCATATTTGGAATAATTGGCAGGAAGAAAGAAAATAGGCTGCAGTTCAATACATAGGGTATGAGAACGTTAAAAAAAAAAAAGAATATAGAGTTGCCTCTATTTGCCCATGGCACAGAATAGAGTAATTCATAGGCAAATAAATAGAAAACCTGAAAGCAATCTTCAATAAAACTGTACCCTAGTTGCATTCTTTATTCTGTCTTTATTTCTTCTTTTTATTTTCTTTTTTTTTTTTTTTTTACAGAAGCAGCCTACTTCTGTAGCATGTTAGAGAGTGATGCAATAAAGACTCCATCACATCATATTTCAAATACTCAATTATTCATCGGATGGTAGAATCTCCACCCTTGCTTCCTATATCTATATTTTGGTTTACTAAAAAGAAATTTCAGTGCTATGAATGTCTGGTCAGGTGAAACAGATGTGTACCACAGCCTCCTATCAAGCCTTGGAGAAGACGAGCAGTAGCAAAGGCAGGAGAAACATGACAAGATCAAGAGAAAATTCATTCGACCCACTGGTACGTCAAAAAATACCAGCTACATTGATCTTACAGCATGATGCAATATGGGGAGGAAGGTTTTCCCAAAATGGAGAACAAGCAGATTAAGGAGCCAGACAACAATTTAACTTATTTTTAAAAATGAAGAACTGAGACAAATGGGTAACCCTCAGGCAGCAGCATGCACTGCAGAGTGTGCAAACAGTTCCCTGAAGGATCGGGATCCGCTGCACATCATAGTTCTCTTTATTTATTCCCATCTAGAGAGCTTCCTGCCCTTTTTCCATTTATAGACTGGTTTCAGAAAAGATCACACATGACCATATACTGCATGATTTATCACATGCGTGATGGTACATTTATACTGTTAGATTAACTCTGCAACAACTGCTGTAAATAAGCATTAGCTTTTGAATAAAGCCTGACCATAGCAACACATCTTACATATCCACAAGCTGCACAAAGCTTGTGGAGGCTCTTGGTGCCAACCAGCTCTGTGGGTTAACGATGGGAGAGACATGTATCACAGAAAAATCTTGCAAAACATGGTCTGTAGGACCCCTTGCAATCCCGTGCAGCCTATCTGGGCTGGACTCCTTGTTTTGTTTTGTTTCTCATTCATCTTCCTTTCTCTAAAGATGGAAAACTGACATATCTTGCGCCCAGGGTGAGAAATATGTCTCTGGTTGGCCACCAGTGACCTGGTCACTGACCACACAGTCCCTTCCACGTGATGAACTTCATCCCCAGCAATGGTGGCTTGCGACATAGAGGCGTCTTGCGGAGATCATTGCTGGGGAAACTGCATCTCCCACAGATACGTGGAAGTCCCCCGCAGTCCCAGGGAAGCGCAGATGAATCACATTTCCTTCTTCATCCTCAAATAAAAGTGGCTGGAGAGCAGCTCTGCGTTAATGCTGTGGTGTGAGATTTACAGACGGCTTTCAGTTCTGCATGCCTCTGAGCAGCCTTTTAGGAGCAAACCCCAAACGATAAAGAAGGTAAATACCAGCTTTGCTGGGCCTCTGCCTGGCTGTCATCAGCTGCTCTTGCACGAGCGACTCTGGGAGCTGTTTCAGCAGCACATTCTTGCCTCTGGCGTGTAAAGTTCAAGTGTTGCTATCTTGTTAAACATTTTTCCCTTCTTTTAAGGGATTTTTTTACCCCCTCAGCCACAGAGGACTGACTTTGCTTCACTTGCAAAAGTTAAAATGTAGTAAATACCTTGATATAAAGAATTTTATAGATTTTCACCCCAGGGAAAGCTTTTTGACTGGTCGTATTTCAATGAGATACTAAAAAATCATGCTTTCATGCATTTTTTTAAATTGCTGTTGTTACCATCTGCGCAACAGGTGGTGAAAGCTGATGCTACGGAGATTGGTTTTGTACTTTCTACTGTAAGACTGGCAGAAAAACTATCAGTTGTCTTGTTGCTCATGTTTAAACCCACACCCATGAGCTGTGATTCAGCAAATTCCCGGAGTAACTCTGGTCTGAAAGCCGGGTTCCTCCTTGTCCTGTCCTGCCAGGGGTGGATTTCCTCTAGAGAAGCCAATGAACAAAAGCTCATTTATTTCTGTATGTGACGAGGAGGAAACTTGCTCCACCATCTCCCCACCTCTTCCTGCAAAACGTTGGCTCTCTTTTGCACCGATCATTTCAGGTCGCAAATGAAAATGGAAGTTAGCGGCAGCAGAGCTGGGATATAAAAATTGTTGTTTCCACCGGCGCTCCCTGGCTGTGTTCCACACCTCATAAATAATAGCTCTCACCTCATTTTAGCTACAAAGAGCAGCAAAAGCAAGTGGCCTGTGTCTTTATTCAGCAAACCTAAGGTGCTCTCTTGGAGAGGCAGAACTGAGCACTGTTATTAACTGACATTATCGAGGAAATACGCTTGCTTTCTTTTTTTTTGGCTGCAATTTTTTTTGCCACGGATGCGACAACATCTTGATGGGGAAGCTAATCTCCAAAGGCCGGCGCAAGAGAGATGCTCGAGTTGTCATGCTGGGGCTCGACTTCGCTGGCAAATCCACCCTTCTGTACAAACTGAAGAGCGGCCGGGCTGTGGAGACCTGCCCAACGGTGGGCTTCAATGTGGAATCTCTGCAAACTCCCTGTCGCGTATCCTTCACCCTCTGGGACGTCGGTGGACAAGGCAGTCTGCGGGCAAGCTGGCCTGACTACCTGGAGGACACCAACACCCTTGTCTTCGTGCTCGACAGCACAGACACCGCCCGGCTGCCTGAAGCAGCAGCGGCGCTGGAGGAAGCGCTGAGCCACCCCAGCATGGCTGGCGTCCCTGTCCTCCTCCTGGCCAACAAGCAGGAGGTGCCGGGAGCGCTGGCTCCCGCTGAGCTGGGGGAGAGGCTGCGGCGGGGGCGGCTGGCGGGGCGCCGCTGGGTGCTTCAG